TATATATATATATATATATATATATTCCTTCTGAAACCCCTTTGTGCGCAGCTCACTTTTAGCGATATTCCTAAAATACCCCCATCCAATATATACATTATTTATCCGTAAAGAGTATTTGTACCTAATCAAAATCTGTCTTGACGATGGTGATTATAGAGCTCCCAGTGATGGGATCTAAAAGTTAACCATAAGAGTGAGGTGTAATGTGTAGTGTGATGTGGACACGAGTGAAGAGACTTTAAGTTGACCAGTTAGGTAGCTTCATGGTATCCTCCAAATATGGCAGGTATGACACCTACACTGTGGATCGATTGAACCCGAGCAAGCTCATTGAAGTTTCTTTCGGCCGACACCTTTCGTTATTGTCGAGTGACCATCTCAGGCACTAGGAAAACTTTAAGCTTTGCAGTTTTGAGTAGCTTCTGAATCAAATTTCAGATGTGTCGACATTCTTCCGTGTCATGTCCGTGGTCTCTGTGATATGCCTCCCGTCTTCATTGGTGTTGCCTTCATGATGAAGTTTTTATTGTACATTACTTCTACTACTTCTGCCATAGCAACGTTAGCGGCTTGGGTCGGGAAGTGTGTGTGTGGGTGTTGAGGCATCCTTTTGTGACGTCGATTGGTTTGCTGCACGGGATTCCCCTTTCGTGAGCACTTCTCATTGGTGGGTATCGACCTGATAATCCTTTTCAGGCGATAAAGATCGATGGATAAATGATTGTCAACAAATTCTAATGGCTCAGCTAATGTCTTAAGCTGTTGCAAGCCTATGAGTAGCAAAACGGACTTCCTCAAGTCCTTATGCCATCACAACATGCGGTGATCGTAGGTTTGAGGTCCCGAACTTCCAACATTTTATCTATAGAAGCTGGTTATAAATACACCCAAGGATCCGTCTCTTCATCAACACAGTTGTACGTGCGAATTTCCTTGTGACTTATGTGCATTGGCGAATTAAGTTGCAGACATTCTCTTAAAAAATGCGTTGGAGGTAATAACTCTCGATAGTAGACTAATGAACCAACAGAGGGCCGATTCTCAAAGTGTTTTGAAGAGCAAACGACACTTGAACACATCACTGATTCTCAATAAGCATAAAGTCGATTCAGAAGAGGTGATGTGATCAGATTCGACCGTTCCTGATAGGAGTCTAAGGAAGGGATCTTGAAACGTTCAATCCCAAAACCGCTAGATCATGCAATAAGAAAATCTGAATATTTATATTTCAAAATTAGGACATAAACAGACCACTTAATTTTTGAGATAAAAATCTTTAAAACATGTTGATTGTATGCATTTTGTGTAAGAATAATTTGACACAATTTTTTTCTTAATGATTAAAATAAATTTGAATATGTGCGATATGTGACCCCTTAATTAAATGCCGTGGTTATATCTCTAAATTCACATATTGAAGCTTTGAATTTTATAATTCATAACAAATCAATTAACAATAAATACAACTAAATTATTTAATATAATTAATTTATCGGATTAATGATTTAATTAAGTCATATTTATAAATACCCATAAATTTCTTTAAGCTTATTTTTAAATTAAAATTTTTAATCCATAAATTCATGATACTAAACGACAATTAAAATATTTAAAACTATTAATTAATCCAATCGTGATACAAAATTTAATATTATTATTCTATATATTTTTTCCATCCCAAACCCCTTTGCGCGCAACCCACTTTTATCAATATACCTAAAATACCCCCCACCCATAGAAATATATACGCTATTTATTCGCAAAAAGAATCTGTACCTGAAGTTTCTCCCGCGATCTAATTTCCCTCTCGCCGGCGAAGCAAAACCCCAACCCCTTCCGGCCGTCGTCAGCTGCCGATCTCCGACCGGCGACACTGTCTTCTTTCTCAAATATACTCCTCTTCCTTGAGCCCGTGCATGGTAGAATCTCCACAGGCGGCATGGCAACGACAGCGACTCAGCGAGGTAAGTCACAGTCCCATCTCCACCGCGATTTCCCTTCCCCTGTTCTGAAACCATGGGGGAACCATCGCCTCCTCCGATGTGACGCCGTTGATGGAAACGAAGATATTGTCGCGGGAAATCAATCATCGTCTCTACCTCGGGATGGCCGGCGACGGTTCCCTATCTCCGATGATTCTGAAATCTCCGTCGGAAACGAAGAAAACGGACTCGTGAAACTCCGTGAAAAGCTCTTAGGTCATCTCCGCGAAGTCGCCGACAGATTGAAACTCGAAGTAATACCTTCTATCGATCCACCGCCATCAAGAACGCCGGAGACTGTACTCCCCTCAGCTATCACGCCGGCGGAAGCGATACCATGGAATCTCAGGAGTAAAAGGGCTTCGCGAAATGAAGCATCGCCGGTTTCGGGAACAGAGAGGATGATCCGCGAGGAGCATCGGAAGTTCTCCGTCTCTCTCACGCGAGAAGAGATCGATGAAGATGTCTTCGCGCTTACAGGATCTCGACCTCGTCGCCGGCCGAAGAAACGGGCCAGGATCGTTCAACGGCAGCTCGATGTAAGGCCGAAACCTAGATCTCTATGTCTGTTCCCTTCTCTGATCTTCTTATGGTTTTCACTCTCCTCTGCAGGCGATCTTCCCGGGGTTATGGCTGTCGGAGATCTCGCCGGAGTTATACAGAGTGCCGGAGTAGTGGTTTTCCGGCGAGAGTATTCTTACCATCCGGTGACGGTATCGCCCTCTCACTTACCCCTTTTTCTCGTGGTTTATATATAGCAATTAGGATGAATTGTTTGAACAATGATTCTTCTATATGGAAGATAACATAATGTTCAGTTCGTGCATGGTTTGTATTAGGAATGTTGCTTTGTTTCTTATTTTGTGCTTTATTGCTATAAAAAACAGGGGGAATTTACCATTTCCATGATTAATATCTAAATAGTTTTTTAAATTACATCACATTTTAATATCTAATTCATATTAAAATAGATACCAATATTTTATGTTTTATTTTATATTCATGGGTAGGGTTAGGGGTGTCAATTCAGATAAGTGAGCCTGATTTGGCTAACTTCAACCCAAGCCCGACTCAGCTTCAACCCGCCAACCGAACCCGACATATAACTAGTTTAACATAATAAATAACAACTATTCATGTTTGAATCGGGTCAATTTTGAGTTCATTTCTAGTTGTCAGCTTAATTTTAACTCAATTTAGGGTAGACGAGTCATATCCCGGTCATTTTTGGCTTGATTGGTCAACTTCTAATCCGAATAAGACTCAAAAATTATTTAGACCGGCTCAAACCTGAATTTTGTGAGTCCCAGCTTAATTTTAACTCAATTCAGGGTAGACGAGTCATATCCCGGTCATTTTTGGTTTGATTGGTCAACTTCTAATCCGGATAAGACTCAAAATTTATTTAGACCGGCTCAAACCTGAATTTTGTGAGTCTGGTTTGGGTCAAATTATATATAATAATAATAATAATAATAATAATAATAATCATAATAAGGAGATATATATTTCAAAAAATAATTACTGAAAATTTTAAATGTTTTTGTTTGGAAGTTAAAGAGGGCTTTTTAGGTGGGATAATGAGAGGTACGAAGTCACGATCGTCGATGGCATTGTTTTCAATTGGCTGCTCCTCCACACCCCCTCTGGTTGGAGGAGATGCTCACATTAATTACTGCCACTATCTAATCATATTTTAGTCGTTAAATGCATAAAGATGGATATTTCAATATTATGTAGTAAATGACATAAAGATGTATATTTCGATATTATTTGATTTAGTATATATATATAGTAAATGCATAAAGATGTATATTTCAATATTATGTAGTAAATGACATAAAGATGTATATTTCGATATTATTTGATTTAGTAAGGTATTAAATAATAAGAATAGAGAAAAGGTACGTACTGATTTATGATTGATATATTATTTTTAGGTTTTAAATGTTAGGAGCAGCAAACAGAAGGCATGGCGCACATCTTCTCGAAATGGGAATATGTGTCCTTTTTTTCCGCTTATCAAACTTTAATGAATCGCGTGACAATATAATTTAAATGGGAAATTTATGCATATAACCCTACAATTCCTATGTATTGATATATCCAACCCCAAAGCTTTGATATTTACACTTGTAATATTTTGGTATCATGCGCCTACTTTTAAAAAAATAAGGAAGGTGATGTTTTTGATGTGATGTTAATTTTTTGAGAGGTGTGCATGTAAATATGAATGTTTTGGTGTCAGATATGTAAATATACAAGAATTGTGTGGTATGTATGATAATACTCCTATTTAAAATTGATAGTTGACTATAATTTTTTTTCCAAAATTTAGTTGTATTAATATTTATTCTTGATTTTTTAGTTAGCGGTCATTTTTTCGTTCTTTTGTTTGTTATTTATTTTTAATTTATTTTATTTATATTTTTATTTTAATTAAAATATGTATTATTTATGTAAATACATATGAATTGAGTGGTCTAGATTTTTATTTTTTTGTTTAAAATTTATTTTGGATTTTTTTTTTCGCTATACATGTTGATTAAAATCATATATAATTATTACGTATGACTTTTTTTTATTACAAATTTAATTATTTATATTGTTTTATCGGTATTGCTTGGGAGACATTTCGCGCAAGCGTGCATTGGAAATATTAATGAACTCGAATATTTTGAATTCCAGTCAATACAGCTATTTTAACGTTGACCAAATTTCTCCAGCTAATTATATTTAAAAAATATATATATATACTATTAATAAACTTAACTATAACAAATTACAAACTTTCTGGTCTAGTTTTATATTATTTTAAAAGGGACATTTACATACATGCCACCCAATTTTTATGTATTTACATATCTAGCAACTAAACTTTTTTTTTTTTTTTTTTAAATACCATTGTTTGATTTAACATAATAAATATTATTGTTTTAACATGTATGGGTAATATGACACATATATCAAAATTTAAGTTTAGGTGTTAGATATTCAAATAAAAAGAAATTAAGTGATATGTTTGTAAATTTTCGAAATATATTTTAGTAAAGGATCGTTAAATACGATTTACACATGCTTAGTCCGAATGCATCTGAACTCCATATTCAACGATGTTCTACACGTTATACAAATTGTTGTGCATCGTGTACGAAAATCTTATAGATGAAGTTTAGATGCATCGGAATTTCACACGTAATATTTTCTCTTTCACAAGTCAGCCACGCCCAGATGACACTGCCGTTGACTTTTTTTTTTATTTTATTTTTTTATTTTTTAATATTATTTTTATGTAACTTTCCTTACATGAGAGTCAACTATCTTTAGTTTTTTTTTATTATTATTTTGCACTTATTGTGATCTTATTTTAATTCAATCAAACACCCTTTTTGATTAAGCACGTATCATAATGGTTGTACACAACACCAAATGGCTGCTATTGAGTTGGTCAAACTCAGGATATTCTAATGTAGTTTTGATCCATATGACCCTTGAAATTATTGTATTTGCTCTTAAATTTTTGTATTGCAATCAACACAAATTAAGTTTAATGGTTTCAAGGGCATCATGGTAAAAAAAATTCTTGATTTCTTTTATTAGATGCAAATTATCTTTTATTTGTGCAAATTTTATATGAAAATGTTTGGTTGCTATCTCACTTGTTGGTGAATCATGGTGTCTAATCCTCTTAAGGCTTTGATGATTCATTAGCTATCTTATATAATAAATAATACTAATAATGTAAATTTTAAATGCACTTTTAAGAAGAATGACAAAGGTGATCTTGTCTTAATTTTAATTCAGCCTAAGTATTATCCAACCAAATATCATAAGCTACATGCTTAGGCTTATAATCCTTTCAAATTATTGAAAGTTTTGAATCAAATGCATATCTACTTGAATTATCTTCTAACATTTACTTGAGTATTATTTCTATTATTATAGATATATTATCTCACCAAGAAAATATAAAGCCCTAGGATTTGTAAAATAACATTATTGTAAAGAACGTTAGCCAAATTTTTGAAAAATTTTACCGATTCTGCACAACCACAACTCTTGGGCTTTGCTTGCATTATTTTATGATTTTTCTCCACCAGTAAGCACATTACCCATACTCTTGAGCAGATAAATTAAACACTCTTTCTCTTTCAAGAGGCTTCGATGAGCAAATTTGGAGAAGCTTGTATCTGTTAATGTTGACAAGTGCTTAACTTGATTGAGCAGCATTCTTAAGAGGTTTACTAGAGTTGATATAACATCAATGTAAATACCAAGTACATGGTCCTAAATTCAAGGCACTAAATCAAGATTTGGGCTACTCATTATGCAAAATTTTTAAAATAGACTCATGCATGACCCAAATTTCTTCAATGATTAAAAAGTTTAATTTAAGATCTCTTTAATACGTCCGTTTGTATAAGTGATCGATTATAATCAATCAACAACAAATGGGAATTTTCTAAGATGATAGAAGAGTATAGAAAGGTCTTTTAGGCCAATTACAGGGTGGAGCTTCTTGGATAGGAGTGTTGTTGGCCTTGAAGATCCTGGATTTCTGTCGTAAACATGATCTTTAACTTCAATTCCTACGAGTTTTCTCCACAATAAACAAAATATCATGAAATCATTAAGGAATGTTGTGGAGGATGTCTACTTTTGATTTTGAGGTTTTTATAACTTTTGGAGTTGTCAAGATATGTTTCTTAGAATTAATTTCAAGTCAAGAACAACTAAATCTACCACTGGATAGAACGTGCTAACTCAGTTTCAGGAAATAGAATTTTCTACTGTGAACTCCAAATGGCTTAAATTGATATTCAAATGAAAGCTCGAGAAGCCTATATTTTATCTACAAAGCTTCAAAAAGTTTGGATGAGCATTTTTTTTTTTGTAGATTTTAGCATTTTTTTACACTAAGGTAGATAAATTGAAAATGCAGGGTAAAACTTGAAAGTGGGCTTTTAGTGGGCACTTTGATTTCATTTTAAGTGGGAAAATCCAAGAAAAACTATGGGAGTAAGGTTAGACATGCACAAAACTAGAAAAATATTATATATATATATAGAAAATAATGATTATTAAAGAATCATATGAGCAATGTAAGGATGCTAAACTCACATAATCTATATTTGGATTTTAATAAGTAATTTAGTATATCTAATTAATTCATCTATATCTATCACAAAGCCGGACCACCATTGTCAAGTCACCACAATTTGATCGTCACAGCTGTCGAAACACAGCTTCCCAAACATGACTAATTGGATGGCATCAGTGCCCGATCATTGTTGCCAGACTACCACCGCCAAACCACAATAACTATATAACCAGCCTTGCTTGGTGACCGATGCCATCACTTGACCATTGACACCACCACAGGACCACCACCGTCTAATCATCATCACTGTCGGATGTCAGATCACTATTGTCGTCGCTAGATCATTGTCGTCGCGCCAAACTACCACCGTCCCCACCACCAAACTCCTGCTAATCGAATATGCCCGTCTTCGCCATCGCCAACAACGCTGACATCAGACTTTATGACAGTGAACTTCTACTATTGGGTTTTCTTAACAACAACTAGGTCACCTCCAGTTCTTCAATATTTTGTGTCACTTCTCTAACGAAAGTTGCATCCCACCTGTGTAATATTGATCCTCGCTATTCAAAGGCTGATAAAGTTTTGTAATTTACATTGACATAGTGAAATCATTTCAATTGGGTCATGCTCTGTGATTTCTGCTCATTCGAACTTTTCACATAAAAAATAGCATCAATCCTTTTTGTTTAGACTTGGACTCATATTGACAATTTTATCTTTTTCATTTTTAATATAAAATTAATAAAAATATACTGACAAAAAAAATATAAAAATATATTATTTGAAAGTGTCATATTATTATTTTA